ACCCACGTGATACTTAGAAAACCACCAGAAATCCCACTTAATCCCGTTAAAACCACAGGATATATCGCTTAGTCTCGTTAAAACCACAATAAAACCCACGTGATACTTAGAAAACCACCAGAAATCCCACTTAATCCCGTTAAAACCACAGGATATATCGCTTAGTCTCGTTAAAACCACAATAAAACCCACGTGATACTTAGAAAACCACCAGAAATCCCACTTAATCCCGTTAAAGCCTCAAGAAATCCAAATAAATTAGATTATTTAAACTCAATCACCCTGCTATTTTTACAGTATTTCATAAATACTAAAACTAACAGCCTGCTATTCCTAGTTTTATTATGTTAGATATTTTTATTATAGTTACTTTGTGCCAATCACCTCCGCCCTATAAAGTAGTCCATGATTTATTTTTGGGGTGGAAAGTAGAATTTTTACTTACTGATATAAACAAATATATAAAAAAAAAAACAAGCACAAGGTTCTATGTAACACGTCAACCAATACAAGCTCGTGTGTTTAGATTTTGTATTATAATGATCTTAATGAAGTCATCTCTGATAAAAAATAAATAACCACAATCACTGTTACTTCAATGCGATCTTAAATCTACGCGTCGCTTTGAAGGTTCTAAAACTCTTCTGACACTTCCAGGCATCTCTTTATTGTCTAACCAAATCAATCATTTTGATTCTCCTGTATCTTCCTGTCGGAATACTGAGAGGTGAAACTAGTTGAGTTACAAACAGTAAAGCCTTCTGTGCGAACGTTAACAGCTGTGATCCAGAGCTTCGATGTGCACGTAATTTTGTTTTGTATCTACGGTAAACACATAACAAAGATATTTAAGTCATAATAGCTGCAAGAGTTCTCGTTATAACTGGTTTATAGAATTTACAATACCAAGTGTGAATGTGAGGGTTTAGTGGCGTGATTTTCCAGGGAACTATATTAAAAGTGCGTAAAACATATCAGTCTGATACGCGGGGATACGTATACAATGTGGCCTCCTATATAACACGTCGGTCTGATATACGGGGATTGCGTATACAGTGTGGCCTCCTGTATAACATGTCGGTCTGATATACGGATATACGTATACAATGTGGCCTCCTATATAACACGTCGGCCTGATATACGGGATTGCGTATACAGTGTGCCCCCCCCCCGTGTATTACATGTCGGTCTGATATACGGAGATACGTATACAGTGTGGCCTCCTGTATAACATGTCGGTCTGATATAAGGAGATACGTATACAGTGTGGACCCCGTGTATTACATGTCGGTCTGATATACGGAGATACGTATACAGTGTGGCCCCCGTGTATTACATGTCGGTCTGATATACGGAGATACGTATACAGTGTGGCCCCGTGTATTACATGTCGTCTGATATACGGAGATACGTATACAGTGTGGCCCCTCTGTACTATACGTCTGTTCGAGACGCGAGGATACATAATCCAAAACAAAGATACATTTGTCGTGGATTGTTAGTGTGCATGTATTTTTATTTGTTTGTCTACACATAGAGACGGTACGGTTTCAACACCTGAATAATTCGTTACCTTTATCAGCTTTGAGAACGTAGATTTCGGACGATCTAGCCTCCAAGGTTTTAACCGTTGTGCCATACAGAGGATACCCTTGTCGGGTAAACACATTTCTCATTAAACATACATACTGTATGTATTATCACAACAACAGAAACTTAATACTTCTCGGTTTCTCTACTGTTTCGAGTGAACCAACAATCATCTGTCATCAGTTATTTCACGATGTATATGGTACGAACCACCCTGTTTTTGTGCCGACGGGCACTTTACCTACCTGCAGCGAAGTGGCCTTAGTGTTGCTAAGATGCTAGAACCAAAGTGATGTGTACATACATCTTTAAATAGCATGATAAATGAAAAGGGTCATGTGTAAAATTACTTTTGGACCACCCTGTTTATAACTTTAATGTGCCTTAAAAACAGGCAAATATCAGAAACGAAAGAAAAAAATCTGTGTGAGAAATATAATATTAATGACACTAACTACGTAACGTTATTATTTTTTTTATGATTCTTCATCGTAATGGTATGACACTAACTACGTAACGTTATTATTTTTTTATGATTCTTCATCGTAATGGTATGACACTAACTACGTAACGTTATTATTTTTTATGATTCTTCATCGTAATGGTATGACACTAACTACGTAACGTTATTATTTTTTATGATTCTTCATCGTAATGGTATGACACTAACTACGTAACGTTATTATTTTAATAACATTACGTAGTACTTGTCATACCATAACGATGCAGAATCGTAAAAAAATAATAACGTTATGTAGTACTTCTCATACCATAACGATGCAGAATCGTAAAAAAAATAATAACGTTACGTAGTTAGTGTCATGCCATTACGATGAAGAATCATAAAAAAATAATAACGTTACGTAGTTAGTGTCATACCATAACGATGACGAATCATAAAAAAATAATAACGTTACGTGGTTAGTGTCATGCCGTAACGATGAAGAATCATAAAAAAAATAATAACGTTACGTAGTTAGTGTCATGCCATTACGATGAAGAATCATAAAAAAATAATAACGTTACGTAGTTAGTGTCATACCATTACGATGAAGAATCATAAACCATAACGATGCAGAATCGCAAATAAAAATCATAACGATGCAGAATCGTAAAAAATAATAACATTACGTAGTACTTGTTATATATGACAAGTACTACGTAACGTTATTATTTTTATTTACGATTCTGCATCGTTATGGTATGACAAGTACTACGTAATGTTATTATTTTTATTTACGATTCTGCATCGTTATGGTATGACACTAACTACGTAATGTTATTATTTTTTACGATTCAGCATCGTTATGGTATGACAAGTACTACGTAACGTTATTATTTTTATTTACGATTCTGCATCGTTATGGTATGACAAGTACTACGTAGTGTTATTATTTTTATTTACAACCTTCGGAAATTAGGAGTTTTATAATACTGGTTAACATTCTGTGTCCAGACTTTCGTCTGAGGGTTCGCTGATTCAGGCACGCCGACGGTAGTTTGGTCTCTAAACATAAACTGGTAGATAGTTTTGACGTAATCAGGTTAACCAACTGTCTATTGCTGCAATGTTTGAGTTAATATTATTTGATGTTGCGCTATTTCTCTGTGTAATCTCATTATGTATGTGCGTGTGTAAATATATCTGTAAAGTGTGTATATACGTGTACTCGAGTTGGTAACGAGCGAGCAGCCCTTGATGTTGTGTTGTTTCTTCTCAGACCCCGTGCCCGACTTGGAGCTTTGCCAGTCAGCCCAGCAGCAGGCTATGTGTGTCCAAGACGTAGAGAGACACTTAGCGACTACAATAAAGTGTTTAAAGCAGTGAAAAACCAAGGTAAGATAGCGTTTCTCATCTTGTTTTAGGTTTAAAGTGGTTTGCCACAGGGTCAGGGTAGGAATAAAGGCACGTCTTGATAGGGCGAACCTACGGAGGAACGTGACATAGGTGTTGTATTATAGAAGCTCGAGTTGACAAGAGGCGCGAGCACCGCACGGATCTATAAACATCCGACTCCTTATGAAGATTATACAGAAGAATTCATTACACAACTACGTAAACGTGTAAAGCATCAGGCAAGTTTGAAAAAAAAAAAAATCAAAATACTCCAGAAGTAAAAACGTATTGAGTAACTATTGATAACAATGGCACTATATAATCATATTTATGGTATATGTGTGTGTGTGTGTGTGTGTGTAATGAACAACTAGTACGTAGAATTACATGTAATAATATCTACAGCCACTGTCACTGGTCAAGAAAGCCGCCTCCCATGTTTATCAAAAAATGTTTCTCGACGTAAAATAACATTGTATTTAAATGTCATTTTCACAGCTTATTGTGTAACAACCACTACATTGACATCGTTAGCAGTAATATAATGTTATTACTGCAGTTGGTATACCTCTGTAGGTGATTGTTATTTTGCCTTCCTTGCAAGGTGTTTAATTATTTTTGTGTAATTGCATCTGTAGTTATGTCCTAGCTCTATCGTTCTTTCATAGGACATGTTCTGCTTTGGACATATTTCGGGTTTTGTGTGTGTGTATATTTACCCGCGTGGGGGTGTTCACATAATATATATATATATTTATATATATGAGCAGTTTTGGGGCAGAACAAAATATTACACACGTTTGTAGTCTCTGTTTGATCAAACAGAAAACAAAGATTAGCAAAACAAAACAAATAAATTATTATATGTGTGTGTTAAATATTTCTGTTCTTTTTCACCAAAGGTAAAATAGAAGCTACCTGCCTTGGTTGGCTGTACCCTCTGCTGTGGACTGCAGATTCGCCTAATTCAAGGCTCAACAGCACAGCTTGGGTCAGCAAACCAAAGAAATACAGTTAGGCCTTATATAATAGTGAAGTGTAAATAATATCCATGTGGTTTTGAATCCATTTTACTTCATCGTGTAGTAACCTAAATTAATTTAGGTATGTGAATAATGTTATGACATTTTACCGAATTTATTATTCGATATAATACTGTATATTGAAGTAGATATTATACTGTATAGTGAAGTAGATATTATACTGTATAATGAAGTACATATTATACTGTATAATGAAGTAAATATTATACTGTATGGTGAAGTAAATATTATACTGTATAGTGAAGTAGATATTATACTGTATAATGAAGTACATATTATACTGTATAATGAAGTAGATATTATACTGTATAATGAAGTACATATTATATTGTATAATG